TCGTTTCCCCACAGTGGAGCCTGAACCCAGGCTAGTATTATGGGAAATGAGCGAGTGGCGAACGATATTTTTACCACTTTCTTCAGTTTTGCATTTAGGTTCTAATGAAATTGAGAAGGTTAACCAAAATTTTAGTTCCAGATGTGGCCTTAAAAAAAGTCTGTTATGACAAAGACTAATATCAACCACTACTGTTAGTCGGGCTACCTTGGTTGCGCGGCGAGCCAATCCTCTGGAATATATCTTGTATTTTTGACCACCTGACAGTTGCTTGTTCTCATAACCATCATACGTTTTACCATCTCCCACAACAAAAACCATGGATGGATTCACAGAATTAGCAGAAATTTGAGCAGCAATATACACATCTGATTCAAGTTTCTCCCAGTCAGAGACCTCGTCCTTCCAATCATTCACTTTATGCACCAAAACTTGATAATGGCTGTAAGAAACAAGTAAACTTAACGAAAGACCATCTGTTGTGGCGTTCGTGAAAATCGTCGATTTCGTAAATGTGTACAGCGGTGAGAGTGTCGTCAACGTAGCGTAACAAAAGAGGTATAGTTCGCGTATTAGTTGCTAGGGCTTGTTCCTCGATGTTTTGCATAATTACGGTTAGAACAACAGAAACTGGAGAGCCCATAGCTGGACCGTATAGTTCTTTGTAGTGTTTGCCGTTGTACTGGAAGAACGTCGAAGTTAGACAGAGGTTAAGTAAGTGCATAATGTCGTCTGTAGGTAATGGTAGTTCAACAGTATAGTTCTCAACAGCGTTCTCAGTACAGTCTAGAGCCAGTTGAAGTCGAATAGTGGTGAACAGTTATTTCATATCAAAAGACAGTAGTTGGTAAGCCGGGTACCCATAAAAACGTGTCTTAAAAAATTCCGCTCCTTTTTTCAAGTCAGCATAAACCTCAAGCTAGGAACATCTTCTAGAGGTGATAGTAATTATTTTTAAAATATCCATGAATTGACCCTCCACCTGTGGATGAGACCAATAGTTTGTAAAATCACACTTTGCAGCTGGTGATAACGTTCTTTGATTAACACGTCGGTTTATAAGTTTTGAAATGCATGTAAATTATCAATGACTGTCACATTTGTCCAATAAACCATGCATTGACAACGAAAGACAAACAAAGGAAAAATCTCCCATAAGGTCATCAGTATCATCACTCCGGGAGATCATAGATGACGACCAATCAAAGCGTTTGTAAGTAGTATTTGTTACAGTACGTATTGCATTTGCGTATTACAAGTGATACCTTATTGGACCATTGGTTTGTAACGCAGGCCACACGGTGACATTCGCTGATGTCCCTTTTACTTCGATTATTTGGGTGTCGCGGGTTTCAGGCGCCACAGGAGCTGCAGGTCAGACAAAAGAATATTGGAAAACAAGAAAAATTAATCAGGGCTAGTTGCAATTTACATGAGGAAATGGAAATTCGGATTGGAAAATCACATTGTTCGTGGTATTCGTTTTATTCAAAGAATAAAAAATGGGCTGTCCTTTCAATTGATTTACGCTTTCTGTTCCTTTTAGTCCCTTCAGCTCACCAGCTACACTCTGGAGCGGTTCCTTCTCCCCCAATGTCAAATTTAATTGTTTAATGAGTAAAGATAAACTTTTTAACTGGATAATGGTTTGTGTAAACGATAAGCGTCCAAAGATTCCTAAAATGCTTTGGCGACTTTGGCGAGAACTGCTGAACAGATTGACCACGTTTGTTCTGTTTCCCCTTCCCCGACCACCACCTCAAAAAACAAGACACTTTGGTTATGTTTTACGCGGAAGTTCACCTAATTTGTGTTTCTCTTTTATAGTCCTTCATTTTTGTAAGCGTTACGTCCGAGGGGTTTTTATAGCCCCCAACTTCAGAAACAGAGCTTGAAAAAACGCCGACAAACGAGAAAACATTTTCTCTGTTTGTAAACCAGGGGCGGATCTAGGAGGAGAGGAGGAGGGTGTAGAGGGCGCGCACCCCCACCCCCCAACCCCCGAGATGACCTGCGGCTTTCTGCAAAATATGCAGCTATGTATGATAAGTATTCTCAGCAGTTCAAATTATGTTATTACATAGACAAAAGCCTTCTTCTTTGTATTCACTTTTAAAATTTTGTTTACGTCACCAGTCAGTTACACAATCATGATTCCTTAGTGGTGCAGCCTCCTAAGAAAAATCCTGGATCCGCCCCTGTAAACCATTTTAGAACATATCAAAATTGAACACACGATACACAGTAAATAACTTACCATCTGGCTTCGTGCTTCCTTGCACCACAGAGCTATTACCTCCTAGATTATCTGTAGCATTCATAAATCACTGTTAACCCTTTCACTGCCAAATGTGGCCAAAGGCAAATTTCGACCAAATTTGCAAATTTCATTTTCTAAAAATTTGACAAACACATAGCATCATGTGAAAGTATAGGCAGAGAGCTTTCATTTGAATGGTCACATCATAGGATTTCGTCCATAGACTCAAAAGTTAAAGTCGCCTTACAAAACTCCATCAAACATTCTGGCAGTGAAAGGGTTAATATATTGTTAAAAATAAATAAATAAATCACTGTTAGTATGGTTATCAAGTACATTCAAGAACTGATGACAAAGGACTGAGAAAATGTTGTTTATTTGGTCTTACAGTAAATCTACACAACAACATTTCAGGGGCGGATCCAGGATTTTTTTTAGGAGGGGGTGCACTCGTCTCTTGCTCTACTTCAACACCAATAAACCACAAAGTTTTTTTTAATTTTTTTGCAGAATACCATGCAGTTGTATTAGAAAACCGCAGGTCATCTCAGGGGGGGGGGGGGGGGGG